AGATGAAATAATTATTCATATTCCCTATGTGGAAGTAATTTTTTGAGTTATGCAGTTTAGTCAATTGCCCATAAAAAATGTTGGATTCACCCACTAGATTGTTACACAGTATGAAGAGATCGATACAATTCCTATTCTGTTCGATGATTTTGTATAATTGTTATCCTATAAAAGATAGTAATCTGTTTGATGAGTTATCAATGATGTCAATAAAAGAAGTTATTAGTCCAGGGCGGGATGGTTAGGGCGGAGGATTGTTATTACCACAAGGGATCCAATCTCGTTGTGATGATTCAAATTTTTTATTTTTTATTTTTTATTTTTTAAAGAAAGTAATTAAGCTATTCTCCATAACTCTTAACAGAAAACAGAGGAACTCTGGTATGATTACTTCCGTAAAAGTATCTATGCTTGGGGTGGGATAGTTAGGATGGAGGATTGTTATTGCCACAAGGGTTGCAATTTTGTTGGGGCAATCCAATTTTGTTAAAAACAAAGAAACTAATTAAGCCATTCTCCATAACTCTTACCATGAAATGATGGAACTCCTAAAATATTATTGCTTTTCCCTTCCCTTTGGTACCAAATTGCATTTGAGAAGTGATGTTGTCATTACTCATCAGTGGTGATTTTTTATGCTTCATTTCAGAAAATTGTGGTTTGTGCCAGATGTTTTGGCATGAACTAGTCAAGTGGTTTGGTGGAGTGTTTGCCCCGTAACATTTTCTCTTTTTTGTAATTTAAAAGAGAAAAATTCAAAGAAATAATTCGTACAAACCTGTGGTAGTTGGCATAGGTGGTATAAGAGATACTACCCATGATTAATGGTTCTAAATAAAGTTTGTGTCTTGGAAGGTTCAAATTCATGCTTATTTTTTCTGGTTGACTAGTAAAACATTTGTGCATAGCTTCAGGAGTATGCATTTGCCTAAGTTCATGTGATTGAAGGCTGAAATATGGTGAAAAAAAACCTTTTTCTGTCTCATGGAACAGTTATGCTCACTTTAATAGCTCTTCTTTCCCCTCTGCTCATTTTGATGTAATTATCTGCGATGGTATACTTTAACAGGAGTGCTTTAATGGCTGAGCATTGATCCAGGGGTCACTATTGTTATTTTTAAGTATAAGCGTGTTTAGTCTGACATGGTATTTGTCTCTTGATAAAACTGGTCCTTTAAGGTGTATGTTCATAGCGTTTTGCTGGCCCTCTACCCTTTGGATTTTTTTATTTTTTATTTTTAACTTCAGTCGGAGAAAACTAATTGTCATCGTGGCGTTCTGGAATTGCTAACCGTTCGACAATACTGGTGACCAGAAAGCTTGCGGTGTAGATTTCCCTGACCCTGTGGCATACTGAAGTAAGCAAGTTCATGGTAATATTGGATAAGGCTAATTCCGCGTGCATTACTCTGGATTATGATTAAAGATCACAGATTTCATTTATGTAACTATGTAAGCCTTTCTGTTTTTTTTTCCTTTTACGTTTGTTTAATGTATATGCCCTTTTTTCCGAAGAAATCACTTTTCATAGTGAATTAGTGATTAATGTTGCGTTGTGTGGTGATATGTAAGTAATGTTGTAGTTAGTTCTTCCCTTTCTTTTATTAAGTATAGCCTAATCAGCAGTAATTACAGAGGTTTGAAACTCAATTACTATTTCTTTCTTGTTGTACTTGTGAATAAATGGGATTAACAGAATTTTTTATTTTATAATTCTTCTTTTCTTTTCTTTTTTTTTGGGGGGGAGTTTTTTAATAATTCTTCTTTCTTTCTTTTTTTTCTTTTTCTTTCTTCTTATGAATTTTGCTAGAAGCCAGAAATTTCCAAAGTCGATGAGCCGACTGAGGTTATTTATTATGGGCTCTTGGAGCCCAAAACTTGTATGTCTCTCAATTGGGCTTTTAGCTTTCACCAGCCGCTATAAAGCTATGGGTCCGAGGTCTGTAAAACAAGGGCCTATATTTGTTTTGAATATCAGTTTTTGGTCACAGTCCTTCCTTTTTATTTCTCTCTCTCTCTCTCTCTCTTTTTTTTGGAATACTACTTATTTAGGCTCAGTATTTTTCAAAACTATAGTCATGACGAAGCATGGAACTTCACCGACGTCTCTGGTTGGTTACTCCGGCGGTCAAGGCGGTATTGAAACCTTAAAACCTGTAAAAGAGGGCATCGGGGTCTCCCGAGGGTAGACACTACGATACTTAAGTCAATAAGAGTATTCGTAATTAGGGTATAAACTAGGTGCATAAAGCGTACCTCTAATCGCGAGTGGTTGATTTCTATTTATAGAGTTAGGTTATGGAACTTTTTCTTGGTAGAAAAGTAATTAAGAACCGACCTAAAAGCTTCTAAAGGCTGGTTAAACCTTTTACCGAACTTGGACCGGTTTAGTCACGGGCCGTACTAATTTGGACTCGTCAAGTCATTTTGCTGGTGGTAGGTGATGTGTTTCTAAATTTAGCAGAAACTTTATGTTTTAAGAAATCTTAAATTTCACATCATCAAAATCCGGAAATTATAATATGAATTTCCGCAAGTTCCAGTTATGCAATTGAAAGCGAATGACGCCTATTAGGCTTGATTGATTTGATATTTCGATATCTACTCTGATTTTCTAAAACATCGCTGTGTAGCAAATTAGAATGTGCACGTTGCTATGTTTTATTTGTATTCTAATCCCTACATGTAATGTAACCATCATACACTTTGCAAACGTATAAATTTTATCCACGTTGAACAGGAATTTAAAAATACTCGACAATCCACGTGCATTATTGCGCCATGCACACCCTATGACTTTTGGCCCACTCATGAAAATTAAATAAAAAGAAAGCTTTTATAAATATGTGAAGAAAATATTATTTTTTCCAGGCTTACAAAAATACATCATATCATCAATTATAAATTATTATATATGCAATTCTCAATGCAAATTATTTTTGTTCTACAGATAGAAAGATAGATAAAGCTGTTATGTGACATTTAATATTCACCTCCCACCCAATTTCGATTTTACAGCCATGACCGAATTGATTGTTAATTACATAAGTATCCTGTTAAACACTTCACAAACTGCATACTACTTTTTCCAAGAGTAATTGAAAGACATAATAATAATAATAATATAATAATAATAACAAGGAAGCAAATAAATTTAAGTGGAAGTGGTAGCACAAAAATGAGTTAATTATTTCGCATTAGAAATTTAGAGTACCTCTTATTTTTTTCTTTGTTTTTCTAGACCATAACACCTACTGGTGCTTAGAAAGTATCTAGTCTATTACAACTTAAGCAGAATCCATCTGCATCTAAGGTAAAAGATCGAACTCTCAATTTCACTTTTAAAGATACAACGTCTCATCGTAGAGGCAGGGATGGATTCTTAAAATACCTCTTTTGAAAATAAAAAAGGTCACCTATTTGTCTCCCTGTGCTTCCGTCATGGCTGATGAATACCGTAAGTAGGTGGCCCACCAACAAGATGGTGATGAACACCACATCTTTGTGAAAGAGGAAGTAGCCAGATGGTGATGAAGTGAGATAAACTCATAAACACATTAACAGCACATCTTTGTGAAGGCCGACCAAACACCATGGTTGAAGCGTGGAGATGGACTGTATGGACTTACTATTTTGGGGTGGGCCGGAGGCATCCCCCACGGGCTCTTCATGTGGGCTCCCATTAACAAGTAGAATACGTGTCGAGCTGGAATTGGTCCTAGGTTTCGACCCCACGTGCACAGGGTAATCATCACGTGACTCCGCTTCCTTCAAAAGAAAGTTGTTTCCTCTACCTTCTGGATTCAATTACCCCGTGCAAGCAAAAATTGGGTATAAAGTTGAATGATCAGTGCTCGGGCAATTCAACATTTATCGGATTTTGAGTTGGGTTTGGGACCAAATTATAGATGTCAGGTTATATATCCATCAATATTCATCCTCGTCATGCCCAAGGTGTTTGTAGTTTTTTCTGCATTTGCACCTGCACCTCCCATCGCTGTTAAGCTTACTTGTCACTTTTCCTTCATTCTCTCATTCTGCATCGGGAAAGAACGAAGCGAAATGGCGTAGCCGAGGTGCAGTTGTTAATGCAGACAAAATGACATCTTGAGACTTGAGATTAAGTATTCCTGCACAGGAGATTGGTAAAGAATACAAGAAATCCACTCACTTTGGCCATAAAGCATCTCCACTTGCAATCAAAACTATGCATTATTAACTACTCATAAAAAATAATTGGTTACTTCAATTTTTTTTTATTTTTAATATAATTTAAACTAAAAATAAAATTTTAAATTGGATTATCATTCCAGAACAAAAAAATATTATAATTATATAGGCAGTATCATTTAGGAGATATTATATTTGTGAGTGTTAATAAAGTCTAAATAGATTTAACCGAAATACATCATATAATCAATTGTGTTACAATAAAACTAATTCTGTTCTAAAGGACATCTTTATAATTTAATAACGCTTACACGCACACGCCCACCCACACACATATATAACAGCTGAATTAACAAGTGTACCCTGTTTAAGTATTTTGTAAATCGCAAAATATTGGGTTTTAAATCTTATACTATATACATTTTATCCTCAGCAAGTAACTAAAGTCTTACTATTAGTCTATTATTATTATATCTCATGACAAAATACATAAATAGTGTCAAAGATTTCCTTTCAAGAATTACTGTCCCTGTTCTAAAACCCAACGTGGTTTTTTTTTTTTTTTTGGAACATGAAGTAGAATATATGAAAAGAGAAGAGATAATTTTGAAAAACACATTTGGCTGTGGCGTGATTTATAGTAGGTTCGTTTATTTAATTAATTAGTATTTGAGAAGCGAAACAAGCCGGGCTCCAAGGAACGACGTCGTCCAATCAGTATTTAATCCGAAGCACCCCCCCAGCCGTTCCTCTTTCCCTGCCATTTTAGGGTTTTACGTTTCTGCTGAGGAGCCAGGCGCAACCCTAACTTTGCAATCACAGAGGAAAAAATGGGAGGCAAGTGTCCCCACAGAAGCGTCAAGAAGCGACGCTACTCTCACAAGACAGCTCGCCGGACGAAATTCCTCGTCAAAGATATCCTTTTCTTTGTTTTCTTAATATCACAGTTTGATTACTATTATTTATTATTGTAGCTGTAAATCGCGGGAATTTTCCTTGACTGTGTTTTTCCTCTCACGTGATGACGCCGTCTATGATGAGCTTAGTAAGCTTGAGGGCGTGAACAAGCCCTTGCCGGTTGACGAAGACCTTCCTGGGATGGGTCAATTTTATTGCTTACACTGCGAGTAAGCAGTTTCTTTATTTTACTGGCAAATTTTTATCTCAAGCTGGTTTTTATCCAGGAATTTATTGAATTTTGTGTTTTGTGTTTTTTCTTTTCTTTTTTATAGTCGGTTTTTCGCAAGTGCTGAAGTGAGGGATGAGCATTTCAAGACCAAGCGACACAGGAAACGGTAAATTTTTTCAACTTGAATACCTTGATTAATTTGATCAATCATTGGTTGTTTGAAATGTGTGGTTTAGATTATTTCGGAAGCAATTATAGAACAAAAAGTTTGAGTTTTGCTTTATCTGGAGCAAGTTCACCCTCTCTTGATGTATGTAGCGTTATAGCTCCCAAGTTAATTTAGTGGATTCTTGCATAATGCACCCATTTAACCTTGCGTATGTCTCCTCTGCACCGTGTATGATTTTGGGATCCCTCAGTGCATACATTGCAGATGTCCTCAGTGCTTTTCTTAATTTTTGCCAATATTGCATGGTGTTAAAATAGCATAATGTTGTTTTCCGTTAATATTAGTGTCTTGATCATGCATATTGAAAAACCACATTTTATGTTTGTAACATATGCTCAAATATAAATTAGGTGTGTTGACTGTTAGGTTATGTCTGGATAACCATAAAAGCCTCTAATTCCTCTGGGGATGAAGAAGTTGTATTTCATATAAATTGGGATATGGACATGATGTTTGCGGCCCTGTTAGGTTATGTTTTGTGCAACACTGATGAGGACCTTTTCATGCTTCTTTCCCATAATGATCTCATTGATGCTTTACTTAACCATCTCTGGGAGTTAAAAAGTTTTTTGTTGAATAATGTCCTATCAATCTAAAATGGTACACCATAAATCAGTGTGTAATAGCTTCTCAAATCGTACTCCTGTCGATGGAGTTGTATAATGTTTTGTAGCTTTTACCAGAGAAGGAAGCCACTCGATCTCTAAAGAATGACTTTCAAGTATTGTTGGTTTGTTAAAAATTGTGTAAACTTAGCTGTTAGCTTATGATACTCATAGCATTATTAAATCAGACTAGTGAGCTAGAATGAACATATGTAAAGTTTTCAGAGTAGATAACTGAAATCTGATGGATATCCCCCAGTGAAGCTGGAAATTTCAAGTTTTATTTGCCCTTTCTTTGTATAGACCTGACATTATAGATGGAATAAAACTAAAGTTCAGTTTTGTTTTGCAAATTCTGTTATTGCAGCCTTAAGCTGATGGCCGGACCAGCACCTCACACCCAACTTGATGCTGAACTAGCTGCTGGAATGGGCATGCCAGACAACGGTCCAAAGCTGATGGCTATATGAGCTTCCCCTTTGTAATACTCCATATACTGGCTGATGATATGGAACTTGTTGCTTCTCAAGAATATTTGATAACTTAGCAATTATTAATGATAATCTTATACTGCTGGTTATTGAATGGCTGGATGTTCTGCTTTGCGGTGTCTTTTACATACCAATTTTGATCAAGTTGTAAATTGATGATATTTTTTAGTGCTCTGTAGATTTTTTGCAAGCTGTTATTAGGGGCACTTCTTGTTTTTACAGTGATGATGTGACATATGATTAGCTTGAATTTCTATTTACTGTATTTTCTTGAGTCGATTTCTGCTCACCATTTTGAAAAGCTCCGCATTAGTGAAAAGTCACCTAGAACATGAAGGCTATCGACTCTTGTCTTAACATTTTGGCCAGACACATTCTTGTTTCTGCTCAATATATTGTACTGTGACGGGTGTAGGGCTGGTGGTTGCCGCGGAGCCATCTTTTTTTTGGTTGAGTCAATCTCTTTCAAATCCGATGTGCGATCAATGTGTTGGTTGTTGTCAGTACCCAGTAGAAGTAGTGATATGGTTACCCGTGCTTCATGTATGGGACCTGGGATTGGAATTTATATACTTGGGCCAGTGGCAGTGAAGGTACAGTTCTTTGGTCTGCGTTTGTCCCTCACTAGTTGCGTCTTGAAACCGCTCATTTTATTCCTTGTGGATTTAGGTATTCCTTTACGCATTTCTCCGCACTGATATGTTGATTTCAGTATATTTTAACCCAAAATATGGCTTCGAAACTTATACGCCACGTTTTACAGTTACCTCTTGCAGCCACCATTTGCCCTGCTACTTGTTACATCATTCGCACGTCAAAAGTTAAGACACTTTACATATGTTAGTGGTGAATTCTTTCAACGAGTGGGAAATACTTCATCACTATATAACTGCTAAACTTGGATGTTACATAGATACAATGCTATATCGAATCAAAAGAGATATTAGACACAAAATACAAAAAATCACCATGTCCTTGTGATTAGTATCTTGTCACTTGTTTCTACTGTTTCCTTCTTTTTACGGACTCTGTAAGAGTGTAAGTGTAATTTTGAGTCTTAATCTTCCCTGGTGGGTGCAGAAGAACTCGAGCCGGATGCAAAATTAACGGCCTGCCCGTGTGAAAATCTCTGCAGCTGAATCATTCGTGCGTAAATTCCGTCAGGGTAATTCTTCAACAGATGTGAATGTGAACCTTGCTCTGCTACTTTCCCATCATCTATGACCGCAATGACATGGGCATTTCTGATTGTTGATAGCCTGTGTGCAACCACAATGGTGGTTTTCCCAGCACAAACGCGCTCTAGGGCTTCTTGTACACACTTTTCTGATTCTGCATCGAGAGCACTGGTGGCCTCATCCAACAACACAATGTCGGCTTTTCTTAAAAATGCTCGAGCAATGGCTATTCGTTGCTTTTGTCCACCGGAAAGTTGGATTCCTCTCTCTCCAACAAAGGTCTTATAGCCATCAGGCAAGGAGGATATGAACTTGTGCGCATTTGCCAAGGTTGCTGCTTCAGTTATCTCAGCTTCTGTTGCAGACTCGTGCCCGTAGGCAATGTTTTCATAAATGGTGGTGGCAAAGAGGCAGGGTTCTTGTGGTACCAACGCAACACGCCGTCTGAATGACTTGAGATTATACTTGCGTATATCTTTACCATCAATCATAATCCGCCCTGAGGACGGTTCATAGAATCGCTCGATTAGCGCAATGACAGAGCTCTTTCCACAACCACTTGGCCCGACCAGCGCGAGTGTTTTACCAGCTCGAGCTTTGAGGTTTAAATCGCGGAAGACTGATATATCGGGCCTAGATGGATATGAAAAATCCACATGTTTGAATTCTACTTCACCACGAAGTCTGTCAGGGACTTGTGTCGCATCAGTATCATCAGGCTCGATTTCTGTCTTCCGATCAAGGAGGTCAAAAACTGAACGCATTGCTCGACCGCCTTTGATGAAGTCAGGGGCGAGGGTTAGAGTTTCAGCTGCACCGTTGGCGGAAACCATGAGGACCATGAAGACACGGATTGTCTTGGAGAAGTCCGAGATCCCATGCTTCACAAGCCAGGAGGCATACCAAAGACCGAGGGCATAGGATGCGTAAAGTGAGAACTGCGCGATCCCGTATCCGCTTCCAGCAATTTGTCCCTTCCAAAAGCAGCGTCTTAGAGGAACATCAAGGTTGGCAGTGAAGAGGCTCACAATCTTCAACTCTGAATTGAAGGCAGCTACAGTTCTCAAATTAGCCACAGCTTCTCCCGCGAGTTGCGTACCTTTTGCGTGTGCTGCTTCTAGGTCTCCAGAGAATCCAGTCATGAACATTTTCTATCAACAAAACACCAGAAACTGTCAATACAAGTTCATTTCCAAATATTGAGTTACTCAACATCAAAAGCAGGGTAGAACATTAGACTGAATCTTAATTTAAACGTTGTAGTTACAAACCTGCAAAACTGTTGCTGCTACAACTACAGGAAAGACTGCGATGAGGACCAGGGCCAGGCGCCATTGCAAAACAAATCCAGCAGTACAAGCAACCAGCATTAGAGCTGAGTTTTGCATAATTACTGAAATCCTGTCTCCAATGGCTGACCTAACATTGTTAGCATCTAAAGCCAAGCGCGCAGCAATTCTGGAACTTTCATTCTCCTCCTGATCGAACCACGCCATCTCATTTTTTAGCACAGCCGCTAGCATCTTTTCCCTTACACGTTTGGTTAAGTTCTCTCCTACAACATCCCAGAAGAAATGCTGCAGTGTGTTGAAGATAAGTGCAGCAGATGACAGGCCAATTAAAAGATAGCAGTATTTTGCTATTTGTCTGATCATGAAAGCATGGTCTGGATTATAGTAAACGCTAAGCACAGCACTCAGGACATATGCAAAGAATGCACTGAGAGAACCGCATATTACAGAGCCAATTGAACCAACTAGAGCATAAGGCCATTCGGGAGAATTCATTTTAGCAAGACGTAAAAAGGAACTCGCTTGCTCTTTGAATGGTAGCTTTTCAAGACGGTAATTGGGGTATGCAGCATCAAGGGAGAGGCTAAAGTCAGAAGTGGAGAAGTCTGATAGCCGTCGTGAGTATGGCGATCGTCCATAGGAGGAATTACGAGTTATAATCGGTGAACTGACAGAGTTTCTCGCGCTTGAAGGCCTGCATATTTAGAAGATAAATTAAGATTAGCATCTGCTTTTATTCCTTGCACTTCTTCCACAGTCTAGAAATTTATAGAGAAGACAAAGGCAGGGCAAGAATACCTTGCGCTACTTTTTCTGGCATTGTTAAGTGCTGCTTCATGAGCTGCTTCTTGCATTTTGATGAGCTTGGCATAGACACCATTTTCACCTTTCACCATGAGCTCATCATGGGTTCCAATTTCAGAAACGCTACCTTGCTGAAGTACAGCCACAAGGTCAGCCTTCCGGATAGTGGAAAGGCGGTGAGCAATGACAAGTGTAGTACGGCCAATCATGAACCTGTCCAGTGCCTCTTGTACCAGTTTTTCAGATTCCGAATCCAAAGCGCTGGTTGCTTCATCTAAAAGTAAAATTGCTGGGTTCTTAAGCATTGCCCTTGCTATTGCAATTCTCTGCTTTTGTCCACCTGAGAGTTGCAATCCCCGCTCTCCTACCTAAGCATTCAAAGCAAGTACAGTTTCACAGACTGGCAATAATTACTTGACAAGAATAGATTAGGCAAGTATTTACTTTGAGAAAATTTATCAATACTTTAAAGGATTTAGACTACACAACTGAAACGGGCCGACTACATTTCTGTTTGATTACGATTTATTAAGAATTAGAGATATCCATATGTCATCAATATCCCTGAAAGATAATAATCCTGGAACCCACAGTATCAAGAGGACATGCAGTGTTTGCCTTCCCAGAAAGAAAATCAGGGAAATCTGTTCGTGTTATTTATCTGCACTTGCAGCCTAACTTTGTCCAGTGTTTATTCACTTTTTTGACGTCCATATGCCCTTTTGATATCCTGCTTGAGACTTTCCATCAAGGAATGGACATAGACATTTATCTTGAGAAAATGGTCGGCAAATCAAGGAAGTTTGCTCCTCACAGAACAAAGGAACAATCAGTCACAGAAGCACATGCAATGTTGACCAAACCCATGTTACAATTTTTTTAATTGCATGACCAAACCACCTACATTCATTGACTTTTAATAAAAGTTAGGTTGGTTAGTTGACCAAATAAGTCCACTCTTAGATGTGAAAATGGCCCTCAGACATGTATGATATATCATGGTCAAATTCATCTCAGAAATGACACAAATCAGCAGAAACACAACCATCACACTTTGGCAGCTGGCATTCCCACTATCTCAGTTAATCATTTTGCAATAGGAGAAAGCCTTCTAATCTTCATTAAGTCAAGGGAGCCGTTTACTTTTTTGAGCATTTTTTAGGCACTTCTTGTGACCATTGGTCCACAAGGTGTATGTGTTCTTGGTGACATGACATCAAATTATCTTCAAATAACAATAACCTTAAAATTAAGTTCATTATTAAATGCAAAGAGTAGGAAACTAATTCCAAAGTAGTGCTGATTATTATCTGCTAGTACTAATTACCTGAGTATCATAACCATTAGGGAGCTTGACAATGAATGAATGAGCATTGGCAACTCTAGCAGCTTCTTCAATTTCAATGAGACTAGCATCAGGTCTACCCAAAAGTATGTTTTCCTTGATGGTGGTAGCAAACAGTGCAGGCTCTTGGCTCACAAGTCCAATTTGCTGCCTCAACCATCTCAGCTTTAATGTCTTTATGTCATACCCATCAAGCAGAACTTGTCCTGCACACCAGAAACTATTCATTAACAGGGATTTTCATTCATATTCACAAGGACTTCATTTGACATATCACACAGCTAGAATAAATGCTATCAAGTATCAACCCAGACAATGAAGTAAATATCAAGAGATTTTGAAACCCAGCAAAATGGGGCAGTTTTTTTTTTTTTTTTTTGTTCCCCGTTATTTTCTTGTTTTCTTTTTTTGCTTTGTGGATTAAAATTTTGTACAAAGAATTTACCAGAGCTGGGGTCATAAAATCTCTCAATGAGGGACACCACTGTGCTTTTGCCGGAGCCACTGCTTCCTACCAGAGCTATGGTCTTTCCAGCCGGAACAGTTAGTGAAAAATTGTTAAGAATCTGAACATCAGGCCTTGCAGGATAGGAGAAATCAACATTTTGAAGCTCCAATTGACCACTAACAGATCCTAAATCCAACCCAGAATCGGCATTTCTGTCAACACTTGGCTTGTGATCAATTACATGGAAAATTTTGGCTGCAGCAACTCTAGCTTTAGCAAATGCAGCCATGCTTGGAGCTGATTGTCCCAAAGCCCTGTCAATCAAAGCATTGAATGACCGATCAAGTCTATGAACATCCCAAAAATTAAAACTTTGTCAGAATTTGGAAAGAGTGAAATTAAGAGCTTACAGTCCACCAATCATAACAGCAAACATTGTGGCAATGGCAAGTCCACCGTTAGTGAAGTGGTGCCTGACCAAGTAGCCTCCATACCAAAGCAGAAGTGCATAACAACAGAAAACAGTGAAATAAGTAGCTCCAAGTCCCATTCCTTTAGAGAACCCATTCTTGTAACCCAACTTCTGGGAAATCCTCAGAGCAGCAGAATATGCTTGCAAAGCTCTTGATTCACCAACATAAGCCAAAACTGTCCTTATTTGAGCTATTGTCTGCAAAATTAAACTCCAATTAGGCCCAAACAAAAGGATTATATATGGTTACAAACAATTTAATTTTGGGACAAAGTTTGTATCTTTTAACCTGTTCTACAATGTTGCCTGCTTCCGAAAGAGCTGCCTGGCTTTTGGCAGAGAGCTTGGATAATGTGGCGGCGTGAATGCCTCCAATCACAGCAATCAGAGGAACCACAGCCAGAGTAACCAGAGCCAACTGCCAAACTGCAGTGAAACCCACCACGAAACCAGACACAAATGTGGCCATGTAATGTATAAAATTTCCCAACTGCAAAGGCAAAAAGAAACAAACAAAAATGGTCAGTTCCGACTCCCAAGGTCATCTTGTTAAGGGAAGACAAATTATTTTTTAGGAAATTGGGTTTCTTGTCTGTGTCTAATGAGCAACCTTCTCACTGATGGCGTCTTGTACCATCACAGCATCCGTGTTAATGGCATAAACCACATCAGATGTCCGAACTTCTGTATCGAAGAACTGAATATCTTGATTCAAAACAGCTTCTAAGTACTTGATTCGCATTTTTGTTGATTGTCTCTCTCCTGTCCACATCCAACATGATATCTCTGCAACCCCCCAAAAAAAAAATTCAATCAAGAAACATGAATAGAAATCGGTTCCCAGAAACAATAAAGAATCCAATTTTACCTGCCCATGATGATGCCCATATGGCAGCTCCTACTACGAGAAAGTAAAATGCATACTGAAAAAGAACCCAAGTGGAAAAAGGAAAAAAAAAAAAAAAAAGAAAAGAAACATTAGTCTTTCGTCATGCCATTGGACCAGAGTTTTTCTTCATCCCAAGCAAAAATGGGAAGGAATTCATTCACATTTGTACCTTTACAACTTCTTGAGTCATCTTATCAACATTGTTGGCATTAGAGCCAAAAGAATTAACAAGATCAGCGAAGAATCTAAGGAACAAAGGCAAGGAACAGCCATGGACAAAGGCGCCCAGCGTCCCAATTGACATCAAAAAGTAGTCTAATCCATCCGCAAATCTAAAAAGCTCAGAGAATCGAGTTGATGGTGGGGGTGAACCCGGCTTCTCTGCATCACCACCACCATCTTTCTTCTTCTTCCCATCAGAACCATCCATTTCCTGCTGTCTTGGCAGATTTAGCCCACCTGCAGAAACCTCAGTACTCTGAACAAAATCTCCTTGGGTTTGTTGAGCTTCTGTTGTTGGAGTTATAGTAATATTATTAGTAGTATTTCCAGTGGCATTAGAATTGGTGGAATTGGGGAATATTAATGGGTTATGGTTGTGGTTGTAGGCTTTAAAGGAAGGGGTTTGAACAGAGTCTGAGGAGGGAGGAGGAGGATGAGCTGACACAAGAAGTTCAAGGCCTTGAATTTCAGACCATTTCCACTGCTCAATCGTCTTTATCTCCTCAGAATCTTGTGACATTGTGCCTTTAAAACATTTGAAAAAATTAGTACTACTACTACTACTACTACTAACTTCCTAAACAATGAAAACTAACCAGGCCACCACTTGTGTGTGTGTGTGTGTGTGAGAGAGAGAGAGATATGTGTGTTTCAGTGTTTCACACTCTTCTTTTTATTTTATTTTATTTTTTCCATATCCCAATTAATTTAATCAATATCCCCTGTTTTTCCTCCCCTGTAGCCTGTAAGGCTGTGCTTTTCAGCAATATCCTAGATGGCCAAATACCAGTTTTTATTTCTTCTTGTTCAGTTTTTTTTTTAATATATAATTGCTTGCTGCTACAGTAATTATTAAATCTTTGTTGGTCACTCCTTTTTGGCTTTTTGCTTTTACCTTTCTCTTACCTCTTCTTCTTTCTTTATAAGTGCTAGATGGGCGGTAAAAAAAACTTATGTGTCCATTATGTAACAAATTCGACCCTGTGTGTAGGCTTTGTTTGGTTTTTTTTTTTTTTGTATTTTCAGAATAATTAAATATTAACTGTCTCATCCCAGCATATCTTTTTACATTTCTAATACACCTTTTTACATTTTCAATACAAAAAACACCTTAAAACATACACTAAAAAACCAAACAAACAAAGCGTTAAAAGTACGTAGATTGCAAATATTTTTCAAGTTTAAGTCGTAAAAATGTTTATTACATACCTGTCTTTAAAAAAAAATAATTCATATTGAGTTTTTGATATTTGTACTCAATATGTACTATTTTAATACTATCTTTTAAATGATCTCAAGTTCTCATATATATCATAATCAAATCATAAAAATTTTCCCCGTCAATTTAGAGTTACTGTATCTAGGTAACAAGACACATACAGGCAAATGGAGTTCGTGCGGTAAAAAAACATTGTCCCGATCCAATATTATGACTGACTGACAGTGTGACGAGGTGAAAAGAGAGATTGACCACTGATGAGGAAAGCTTTAGGAGTAGAGACTAGAGAGGGAAACTTGCGAGAGAAGAGAGAGAGAGAATGAATGAATTGAGTGAACGAATAAATGAGAAAGAGAAGAGAAAGAAGATTGGGAGGCCGACAAAGAAAACTGTGTGTGTAAGCTTGACGTTGGGGTTTTTGACCAAAATAGATTCTGCAACCCTATTTCACCCCCCTACCTATACCTCTATGCCTTCAATATTTTTTATGCTTCAACTTTGCTACAGTTACACACACATACGAGTATATAAATGTATTTCATTCGTCTCATAATTATTGTCCATTTTAAATTTTCATTTTTAGTTCAAATTGTACTAAAAGTAAAATCTCAAATTAAACAATAATTTTGAGACGAAAAGAGTACATTTTAATATTTTTTTCATGTTTGTAGATGATGCCGTATTTTGAAGTTCTCATCAAAACCTTTGATTAAGAATGGATGAATCCGGAGCATAGACATACGACAGTATTGATATACTTGTTGAGAAAGTTTTGTGTTTCGGATAGAGCCTACATGACTCAGAATCTGAATTAGTCGGAGTAATGATATTGAACACCAGCTACATCATTTCTCAAAAAAAAATTTTTTAAAAAAATGGATTTTTATTAATTGTATATATGTATATATATATATATATATATATATTGGTCCGTTTGGTTATGATGTAAATATATTGGAAGGAGAATTTTACTTTACAATGTCTTAAACCCAGTATCATAATATTCACTAAAGTCTGTTTCTTGGTGATGAAAATGGTGGAGTAATAATATCATTTATGATAACATTATTCGCTTGTTTGACAAGTTAACTCGTCATGTGCATGTTTTTTTTCCCCAATCCATTACTGTTAAATTTCATTCATTTCTCATTAGTCATTATAGTCCAAATAAAATATCATTACACTATCCAAAAAAAAAGTAACCACAAAAAAAATTTTAAAAAATCATTTACATATCATACTCAAATTAATACTAATTGTTAAAATGTTTGTAACAATACCAAATAGAGTGGGTTCATTGATGTTTCTGGTGTTTCTCCTGCAATGCAATTTCCCGCGTTTGATGCTGCCTCCATCCATGCACGTCGTCTCATAGCAGTACGTACTTAGTGTGTGTATTTATTGAATTGCTGTATTTATTACCACCATTATATACATGTAGTATTACCATATGATTCCTCAATTATTAATTCTACAACTGAAAATTGACCATTCACTTCCATTATTTTTTTTTTCCCACTTCCTTTTTTTTTGTTCCAATTTTATTTCTCATTCTTTTGACTCTCCGAAATGAGTATAGGATTCCAAGATATCTGACACTCTCCCCCCCTAATCATTCCTCTCAACCAATATTATGTTTATTAAGTTCACGAGAATTAAGGGGAAAATTGAAGAATAACATGTTAATATTATTTTACATCGCAATTCAGCATCTTGACTAAAGTCTTATAGTATATTAGACATGATAAAACTATTAGTCAAGTTAGGAATAACGTACGAAGGATTCAAGCTGTTGTGTTGATTAATTCAAAATAAATTTAATAGTATGTATCCTAGGATTTAATTAGACCCGATTGTATCATCCATATTCCACATTTTAATTCTTGGGATCTAAATTAAGGTTTTATTTTTGACGTGACTATGATGACATTTTGACGCAGTTATCACATTTAATTGAATTATGGAGTTGTTTTTAGGGTTAATCATGTAGCTAATCTTAGCCTTTTTTTTCTTTTTATTTTTTTTTAATATTCCGATTCAAAGCTAAATCTGAACCTTTGGTTACAAGTTCCATCATGTAAAGTGATGACTATAAAAGGAATTACTGCTAGAATAATAATTTTGCTGGTGAAAACAACAATTAGGATCTCTAATCAAATCTCCACTACATGTTGTCCATCGCCTTTTTACCGTTCTTCTCCAACACCCAATTCCACCATCTATAATTTTTTAGTTTTGACCCTCTGAAAAGTTTACCCATAACTTACCTGGAAATTAAAGAAGGAAAAATAAAATAAAATTCTGCAGATCCACGTTATCGGTTATTGAATGGGGAAGAAAGCTGACAATATTATCGTTTAAAATAATGATGATTAGTGCTAATAATATTAGTATTAATGAAGTAAGCAAACATAATTAACTCTATTTGTCGAGGTGGATTACTTTTATGGAGGAATTCAGAGCATGGTACAAAGAAAGCACTAGTTAAATAATTACTTTAATCAAGGTTTTCGGGGAATATTAATTTAAAAGGAATAATTCTGTGAGTCAGCTCTTTTTAAATATCTTATTTAAAAGGTTTTGAGGTAATTAAGCTGGCATTCTGACCCAAGCCTGCAAAATTATTCCACACCTAGAATTGAAGGGTTGCTTTCAAAGCAAACAGTAAATCATTTCTCTTCCACAATCTTCTTTTTCTCTATTTCTTTCACTATTACTTTCGTCCCACAGAAATAATCCACATTAAGTTTTTAAATTTGTACTAAAACCAGTACAAAACTCCAAACTCAATGTGGGCTATTTTTGTGGGACGGAGGGAGTATTAAAATAAGTCATGGAACAATAATGTCCTACAGTAAACGTATTTACCGGTGTTATTTGTAATTATTCGTCCCAATTCAAAATAATTATTATATTTATTGTATTTATAATATTATATTCTAGATTGGTACTGAGAGAATATTCGGGTAAGTTGATGCAAGAAATTAATTAGGGTTTCCTCTTTAGTTACTTTCGTAGTACACTAGATTATTGGCAGATGAATTGCTAGCTGATATATATATGGCACCATACCCTACTTAACGATAGAGAGCGTTCAGTCTAGCCGTTGGAAGAGAAGAACAAAGATTTTATTTTTTATTTTTTAAAAAAAAAGAAAGATATTTAGGAAGGTATGGTTTTGCTTTTTGTCTCGATTCTCATTTTGCAAATTATAGTTTAGCAAAAACTATTCTGTGATTATTAAGAAATGATTTGTCTCCCAAAAACAAAAATTAGTATACTTTAAATTTAACATCATAATTTAGAAATAGTGATAATGTAATTTATCCAAGGTGGATCGTTTACTGAATTATTTGATTGAAATTAAATTGCTGGATATATATATATATAAAGTAAAAATGTGAAAAAGTCTCAAATTAAAAAATAAGAATCCAATTCTTATACTTGCCAGAGAAAATGTCTCTCTTTCTTTTGGACGAGAGCATATACTAATTTTTTTTTTTTTGTCCATGTTCCTCGTCCCATAATTTCAAATAGAAAGCAATAGATCAAAGGACTAGTAATTAGAGAACGCATGTTTATTTATAAAAAAAAAAAAAAAAAACAAACAAACAAAAAGAAAGCATGTCAATTAATCAAAGAAAAAGATTTCTTTTTTTGTTTCCGCGAGTCACGCGCATCTGTATACATTTCTGTGTCCCACAAAAGCCTTTTGCTTCTCAAAGTTCATAATTCTTCTTGGCTTACCTGATCAACGGCATGCCCATATTTTTCCTCATCTACTCATCACACCTTCGCCTTTAATGAAACAACAAAAACAAACAAACAAAGCTAAATAGTGAAATGATGGAAAAAAAGAAAAATAAAACGTCAATTGTGCAATTTTACCCAACTTATAGCTTTGCGTTTTACTCCTTTCTATTCCAATTATCATTATCTCGTTTGTTAAAGAATTACATAATCATTCGACACAAAAGAAATAATATTTCTTCTATTAGAAAGTGATTTGTGTAGTTTAAATTTTCGTTTTTAATATATTTTGGAACAGATAGAGTACATTTTTATGAAATAAATTTTATTGTAATCTTGTGTAATGGAGGATGATGTTCTTAATCTTTTCTCCAGAAAAAGAAAACACAAGTTAAACTATTATAAACGCCGCAGAATAAAAGGGTAATTAAAATATCGATGAGTACATGAAAGTCATACACAGTTTCAGAAGTTTGAAATTTTAAGAAGTAAGAATGAGTGTGCTAATGTTGTGGGTTCTCTTTTTTTCACAACTGCAAAAAGGGTTTTGGGGTTGGAGTCTCGATAAAGCAAACTGGTAAATTCACATAATTAAGCTTATA